GTGACAGTTCATGTGGCTCGAAACTTGTCTCCTTGGTATCACGATGTGCCTGATGTTGATGTGAAGGGAAAGCTTCATACAGTTAAGGTTAGTTTATTGACGAACAGCACTTGAAAGGGGAATAAATAATTGAACAAATTGCAAACAGAATGGTTTGCTTTTTGTAGTTTATTCATTACTGAATAATTTTAATCTCGGTATACATTCCCAAACTCGGTAGATATCTCTTCACTCATATGGTGGCCTTTTGAATAATCAGGTTGGACCTCTAGATAACTCGCCATGTTCCAAAAAGAAAATATCTTTTCCATTAAGGAAAGAAAAATCAAAGTACAGTGCGGCTGCCCATATTTCTTATGACTAGAAATTCAAATCAAAATGTTTTTTTGGGAGGGTACGTGCGGTTAGTTTGCGTAAGTCAACGTAACTTTAAACAAAACATCGACTAACTGCCGTGTGGGGTAAAAACTTACCCAAAATGCGAGGGGGGGGGGGGGGGGCAAGGAAACAGAGCTAGAAATGAAGCAGAGTAAACTGAGCACAAGCACATGGCAGTGCCTTGCTAACCCTCCTTGAATCCTCCAAGAAGTAGATTGGTGTGAGTCTTCGTCGTTCTAACTTTGTCTAAATTACATTTAGTCTTGTCATAATATCGCCTCGTCAAAAATTAGAGAGTTTAAATAGTATTACAGATATTTACCAGATATTTACATGTCACTTGTAATAACAGCTGAGTGAATTCTGCCTTTGTACAGTTACGTGCTGGTGAAGATGAAATAAGAACTATACTAGGGATCTTGTTGAAGAATCTCAAGGAAGGAGTCACATCTCGCACAGACGTAACACAATTGGGTTTTTTGGGAAGTGGTACCGGAGAACAAGCAGAGGAAATGGATGAAATGTGCCAGATACCGGCTAAAACTCTTACCGGGTATTGTTCGGTTTTATACACTCTTTTTTCGTTTGGCTAAGGGAAAAAAGCGGAGAGTTTCTGAAAGACTTTTCTTGTAGAGCCCAAATTTGATGGTTAAAAATACGGCATAGAAGAAGTGACAACACTGAAAGACTTTGGATGCAAACCCCTCAAACTCTCTA